CTCTGCGTCTTCTGGATCTGCATCTTCTGGCTCTGCGTCTTCTGGCTCTGCGTCTTCTGGCTCTGCGGCTTCTGGCTCTGCGGCTTCTGGCTCTGCGCTTTCTAGCTCTGCGGCCTCTGGCTCGTGTGGCGTCTTCAGAGATGGCTCGTCTTGCGTGACGTCAAGAGAAGCCAGCGTATCAAGTGTCGCGGCCTCGTCCAGCAGCGTGTTGGCGTCAGTAGGCAGCGACGAGTTGTCGTCGTCGTCGGCTGCAGAAAGGGCAGCATCGCCGTCGAACGTGACGGCGACTTCGACCACTTCCTCAATGACGGTCGTCTCGTCCTCGGCCGCCTCCTGCGAGACGGAATCGTCGGTATCAGCCGTGGTCGTTGTCGCATCGAACGCGTAATGGATCTCGCCGACCTGTGTTGATGGCTCTTCCTCCGTCGTTGTGTCAACGGGCTTCGGCGTCTCGACCTCGGAGGCGTCGGGTGTCGTTTCGAGCTCGTCCGTGTTCGAGGTCACGGACGCGTCATCGGGGTCCGCTTTGTCTTGAGTCATGACGGTGCTGCTGTTATCGCTCGGAACGGCTCGGTCAACGCCGTACTCGTCCACCGCTATCGCATCATACAGCGCTGAGTAGAGCGACGGCAGTACTGTCACCCCAAAGTCCTCAAGACGCGTCCATGCTTCGGTCAGCGTCGCGTCCCCGGAATGCACTTGATAGATGATGCATCCTTGGACGGCGCAGATGAGAACGCCAAGGAAGAAGCCAAGTCGGCGCCATGGGTTCCGGCGCAGTTCCGCGTCCAAGCGCGCACTAGGCAATGGCTGCGCCTCCGAGTCAATGCGCGAGCCGTACTGGCGCTTCCACTTGGCATTTTTCCGCTCGAACTCCTTCTCCCAATGGGCGCGGTCGGCCTCGTCTGCCCAGAGCGTCTCGTCGACCATGGCGTCGTCCACCTCGTCGTCGTCGTCGTCGTCATAGACGTCGTCCGCGCCAGCATCCGAGGCTTCTGATGGCACATACTCTTCGTCATCGTCCTCGTCGTCCTCGAGCTCGAGCGTCCGGAAGGCGACGCCGTCGTCGCTGTCGCTGCTCGCGTTGGCATCGTGGCCCCAGATGCCATCGGCCGGCATTGCCATTGCTGCAGCAGCAACCGGTGGGCAGAAATGGTGTGCGATATAAAAACGCCGCATTAAAATAGTGTGATAAACAGCGGACTCGACATGATGGCGTCCTTGTTTCTCTACTAGTACGGCAATTCTCTGTTCCTCTTGACCCAAGCGAATCGATCACGACCTCGAGAGAGGTGGTCTTATCCTGAGCCATTGGCTGCTACTAGCGTACGTCGTTGGTCCAGTTTGAGGACGTAGCAGCGCGCAGCTACACAGCTACACGCTGTGCACGTACAGTAGTAGCTGGAACACGGCCTCCTGTCGTCCGCGAATAGCATCAAGAAGCCTGCAACCTATACCGGAGAGTCAAAGGTGTTGGACGATACTTGGTAGAGTGATGATGGCCTCACGCCGTGCCTTTGGGCTCTGGTGGCGCGTGATTAGTGCAGTGGAAGGCAACTGCGTGACAGCGTCCAGGTCTTCGTTGACGTTATGCGCCTTGGATGCTATCTCGCAGTTGAAAAGCAATTCACGCAAATCTTGTTGACGCCAGCTCGACCCTCGAGGTAGACGCTACGGACGTACCCCTGTAACGGGCAAAAGAAACAAAGGAACATGACATGTCGGGTTGAGATATAACTACGACTTGATGGCGCGATAGGCATCCCCTGGCTACTCGACTAGTGTGATCTAATGTTCGTGGCCGGCGCTCTTGAGGTCGTTCATGTTGGTGCCAGCAATCGGCTCGCCTAGCAATTGGACGATAGCACCAAGCGGTCAACGCAGCCCCCGTCGTACCAAAGAGGCGGAGGCTCGAGAGCGCCGAGATGTCGCCGCCATTGTTCTCTTCGATAAAGAGCTAGAGCGAAAATGAGCATGCAATAGAAGCGGTTGGTACTACCGTCAAGGCCGAGACGCGCTGGAACTTGACAAAGCGGAGCTCGATCGGTGACCCCGATGCGAGCTGCTCGTCGTTCAGTTCGAGTTGCTGCACAGGCTCAATGTCCGCAACGTCCGAGAAGCCC